ATATATTTTTAAAAAGAATTAAAAGATCTTCCCCCTTTATGCGTTTGCACTAGCAAGGTAATTATTTGTACTAAGCGTGGGCAAATATGAAGGCAGAAAAACAATTTAGCTTATTATTAAATACAAATCTTTGGAGGGGGACAAAGTAACTCATTAGGAGAAAGAGCAAGTATAATATTCTGGTGTATTTTTTTTTTTTTGCTTTTGAAAAATAATTCCAACTGAAAATACACAAAAGCGTATTAGGATTCCCAAACGCACAAAAGGATCCATTGTTTTGCAACTCCCAAAAGTACGGTTTTCTTTTTTTAAATATAACCTTTTATTGCGTAGATCGTTTGATACAGAACAGCATTATTTTCATCACTTTGAATCTGGAAGTAACATACAACTGAATGAGAAGAATAGAAGTACCCAAAAGAAGTTAAGTGTGATTCTCTGTTCATGTGGCATAAATCAGTCTTGTACACAACTTGTAGCAGCAGTTTTTAAACGTTCCCTTTCGAAAATATATATATATATATATCTATATTTCTATATATAAATTGTACACACTAATTATCTCCTTGCGCGGGCTGAAACTTTTTGAATTAAAACATCTGTCTTAAGTGAAGAGAGAGAATGGTGGAGAGAGAGAGAGAGAATCACCCCTCCCCATCCCATCAATACTAACCAAACTTGCATTACCCGTAAGGGAGAATCCTCAACGGATAAGTCACCTCCTCAAAAAAAAACCATGATAGTGTCACCTTGGGCTGAAGGACACAGAGGTAAGGGGATTTATCACTTCATGCAAGCTCATTGCCCTGACTTCCTTTTCTGGATCTTTTCACCGACTTTAATGGCTTTGAGAAACCAGAGGATTTAAGGCAGTGTTGGCTCGACTCTCAATTATTTCACAATTCAACCACCCGACCAACACAGCAGGCGGCAACACGCAGGTTCATCCTGGGACTTGGAGGTATTCCAACAGCGACTATAGCGTTGATGGGAAAATTGAGGACCAGGTTGTAGAAAGGAAACAACAATAACTAAAAAAAAAAAATCGTGGGGAAGCTGGAATTAAACCATCAAGAGAGCTAGCTCTACATCAGTTACCGCTGCACATATCAGGTCTATTTTTTTAAAAAAATTCTTGGTTCTTTTTATACTTTCACAGTCAAGTGCTTATTGTAGTGATTGAATTCTCACCATTAGCTCCTTTACAAGTCCAACAAGAGATTTTCAGATTAAAAAAAAAAAAAAGCGCCCTGAGAGAGGAAAAGGGGGGGGGGGGGAGAGAAGAAAAATCACAAAGATGCAGAGAAAAATGAACTAGTTCAACATGCAAACTAAACCTAAGATTCACCCATAGTTTAAACACATTATAAAGTTCACAGTTTTAATATAAAGGGGGTGGGGGGGATTGTGAATGTGAGGAGAGGGAACAACAAAAGGGAACACATATTTTTTTTTCTTCCATCAAATGCAACTAATAATAAAAAAAAAAACACCAGTAAAATGTGGCAAGATTTTATAATATACTACGATATACATAAAGACTAAATAAAGCTTTAAATCAATAGTGATTATTGCTAGCAGATGTCCCGGCAGGGTGCTGGGATATTACGTGCTACATTATTTCTGCAGCATAAAGTTTTGTTCAGATCTGTCAGATTTGCAACCCCCCCCCCTCCCCAAACAAAGGCCACGAGATTAAACAGGTCTGCAGAATGACCCATTCAGTCTTGGGGGGCAGTTCTGACAATTCCTGATTTAGCTAATGGCTTCTCCCCCCACAATATTGCGCAGTTTAGCGTGGGGAGCTGCAAAACAAAAACAAAAAAAATACCCCTCAAATTAATAACAAAATATTCCCAAATAACAATTATAATAATTATAATAATTATAATAACAATAATAATAATATAATAGCAATTTATATTAAGGGATGCTGAAATTGACTTTAATGGAAAGGATCTTTTAGCAAATGATTTTATATTCTGAAAGAAAGAAAAAAACCTGGTATTTATTTATAATAATCCAGAGGTTTCAAGACTGTTTTATACACCTTCTACAACAGTGAAATCTGTTCTTCATATTCTGTATGAAATGCTATCGCCCCAAAAATGATCTCCTCGCTCTTCCTCTGCAGTCTGAATTGAATCTCCCCCCAAAAAATAACCAACATGAAATAGATTGGTATAATGCTCCCAATTTTTACCCAGAATTAAGGATATATTAACTTTATTTCTAGGTAACATCAACTTGTTTCTAATTTGCTTTCAGTGCTATTTGCACAGAGTATCATCACTTGAGAGCAAGGTGGACCAAATTTGGTTTCCCAGAACTTGTTAAATTAATGTCCCAAGTTACAACAGCCACTGATTAAGAATACTGGGTATTTTTAAGCCAGTCAATTTGGAACTCCACTATTTTTTTCCACCCTGTATTAATAATTTTAAGTTAGAGGGCAGGGGAAAAAAATAATATGAACAAAAGAGGTTCAATGTGAAAGAGCAACAGAAAAAAAAATCCCAGAAATACTATGCCTTTGCCCTATTACATGTATGTGTATGTATATGCCCCACACCTAAGTAAACGGGTCATTCCTGACCCACAACTCAGTCTGAATCAGAATATGTGGACCCCAGGCAAATTTCAGCAGACTTCCATGAATGCAGGGTTTCTTATAAAAAGAGCATCAGTCACACACAGAGATATCGTCCCTTGCCAAAGGCTCCTTGAAGAGAATAGCAATAGCAATAGCAGTTAGACTTATATACCGCTTCATAGGGCTTTCAGCCCTCTCTAAGCGGTTTACAGAGTCAGCATATTGCCCCCAACAACAATCCGGGTCCTCATTTTACCCACCTCGGAAGGATGGAAGGCTGAGTCAACCCTGAGCCGGTGAGATTTGAACAGCCGAACTGCAGAAACTGCAGTCAGCTGAAGTAGCCTGCAGTGCTGCATTTAACCACTGCGCCACCTCGGCTCTTGGCGAGAAAAGAAATTGCTTTGAGAACTGGGTTCACAACCATGTACAACTGGAAAATAATTGTAGATTTCCTCCATCTTTAAGATGAGGGTACAGAATTAGGATAGTCACCCCAAAAAGACAAGCTTTTTTTCACACCGGACACAGAACTAGCCACGTAGCATCCTCTGGGTCACGCGTTAGGAGCAACAGAACTACAAGTGAAATTGTCCGCTGTCTTGTTCACATCCAATTCTGTGTTTGTTAGCTTTAAAATGGAAAAAACAGGAATGTAGCAATGCAGCCATATTTGCACACATACACACAAGTCACACATACATGGAGAGGGCAATCCCACTGAAATTAATTATTTTTCCCCCCTCTCAAGACAAATGGGCCCACACATCAAAGTAGTAGAAAACAAACCTTACAATCTAACACACCAGCTTAACTGGGTCAATGGATCAGTCTTAAAGTTGGAGGACTTGACGTATCTCCTGTTGCCAGCAACAGGAATGTATAGTCCATTCCCAATTTAGAACAGAGTTTAAACATTTGGGAAAACCTCTAAAACCTTGGGGAATAAGTATTTTTGTCCATCTGGAAATTTTATTGCCAGTAGTAGACCATTTTCTTGCTTTAAAGCACATTACGGTAATAAGATCACTTAAGGGGTAGGGTTCTTTACTCTATTGTTTCTGGAAGACTAAATCACCTTAGTTATTATTATTTTTTTATTAAACCGCAACTACTGCAAATTCCAAACTATGCCACCACATTTGCAGTGCCTTTCGCATGAAATCTGGATAGCCGCCTTCCAACTCATTTTATCTTCACGCCATTAACACATCTGACTCCTCTCTCTCTTTTATTAACTTACACAGAACCCCCTTATCCGCTGAGGTTCATTTGACACAATCGTTCCCACGAAATTGAAGGCATAGGTATGATTGGATGGGAAAACAGAAGTGGACCCACAGTAGCAACTTAAATACGCTACATGCATTCAATTGTGTGTGTGTGTGTGTGTGTGTGTGTGTGTGTGTGTGTGTGTGTGTGTGTAGGAAAGACTTAGGAACAATCCTCTGTG